AAAAAAAAAAACTCAAAACTAATTAATTAATTAATTAAATAATTGATCTGTCTACTAAAACTTTTGTGGTAGTCAGAAATTTCATAACCGTTGAATGTGAATTAAGCATATCTATGATAAGAATTTAAACAAAATTTTGCTTAGTTGAATTTGACTCCTGGAAATAAATTTTGTTAACAGTTCTAGATATCCGAACGGAAAGAGCCTGACATTTGAGCCAACTTTAAGGGACAAAAGTAACGCGCACTCAATAACCACAAAAATCCCAAAAAATTTGTATTGCACTCAAAAATAATTTTATTAAAAATAGAGTAAATAAGAAAATTGAAAAGATTTTTCAAGCTTTACCAGCAGCTTTTGTTGCTGTACGTTTCACATGCATCCATTTATATGTATTTGCCGGTGGATGATTTGTTGCCGGATAGCTGGTTGCCCACTGCTGTGAGGTACTTGCCGGATGTATATAGGTTGGCGACGACGTTCCAGTATACGTATGTGTCATATACGGATTCTGGTTCCATTCCGGTGCAGCATAATAGGCATGATTCTGAGGTGCCGTCGGTGTTATATAAGAATCTGCGCAGCTCATCACTAAAAATAATAAAAAACATATAAATAGGCAAAACAGAGAACCGAAATTAGCTATCAACAAAATTATTTTGAGTGTACCACGTGTACATAAATATTAGAAGAATAAACAGAAGAAACAGCAAGAAAAAAGAAACTTCTTTTTCGTCACTGAAGAAAGAGATGGATGTTGTTAGAAAAAAAAACTGACTACAAGAACAACAGCAACAAGAACAAGGCCAACAACGAAAACGACAACGACAACTTCAGCAACAACGACCACAATCTTCCGAACGATGACAATGATGGTGATGATGGAGATGATGATGGTGCTGATTATGATTACATTGATCATAATAATGGTTGAAAAACACCCTGTACTTCCCCTGTTTTTTTTTAATACCACATTTTTCCATTTTCCTGCAGTGAAAACCAATTTAATTCAAAAAGAAGAAAATTTGGTTTCAGAAAGAACAGCAAAACTCCTTCAAATAAAGGCGATAAAAACAAAGGCGATGGAGAAGTAATAACATTGATTCAATAGATGAGTAGAATCAAATAAAAGACCAAAAAAAGATGTTTCTTTTGAAAAATTAGACGTAAAGAAAAAGTCCAAGAAGAAAACGAGACAGAAGCCAACTCCATGTCGTACAACCATCAGATTTTACGAAGTCAAAAAGCATAGGAATGCCAAAGGCAATCAACTTTTATTCTTTAGTCCCACTACCCATTCCTTTTTCAGGCCTTTAAACTGAACCTTTCCAATTATTTTTATCCCCTTCCGTCCTCCTCCCTTCCCCCCATTTCAGCCTCCGCCCATTCTCTCCTCCCATTCCTTTTCCTTTCCGTAAAAGTTACCTGAGTGTGTAGTACAGTAGCAGAACTATCCTTGCTAAGCAAAAAAACAACAGAAGACTAACATCTATAAAACACCACCTCCAAAGACACATAATTTGTTAAAAAAAATAAAAAAAAGCTAAAATATTTAAAAGATAATTAATTACTAAATTAAACTAAATTTACTGCCAGAAGT